GGGCTCGAACTCAAAAACTGTGAGATCATGACCTGAGCCGAAATCAAGAGTTGGACGCTTAAGTGACTGAGCCACCCAGGTGCCCCTGCCTTTTCAGTCTTTAAGGGTGACATTTGCTTGTTGGTAACGTTAAAGAATTGGGTTTGATTTGGGTGGGTACTGAAGTGTGGATAGATCGTATGAGGCATTGCCATTCTTCTCAAGGAGCACATCTAATCTACAGTCTGTCATCCAGGCAGTGTCCCACCTCATGTTGTGGTCACATTGGATGATATCCCAGGGAAAACTCAAGTATTCATGGACGTGGTGGGGAGTGCCCACCTGACTGCAAATCTTCTTGAGTGATAGGTTTCACAGACCCTCCCAGCATGACAAAACGTCTTCACACCTGCTTGTCTTCCCTATCTTTCTTAGTCTGTAGTAGTTGAGAATGTATTTAAAAGCTTTCATTCAGATCTGCTCTAGTGTACTGCTTAACACTAAGATGCAGTGTTTTTAACCAAGGAGAGTATCTTTTCCAAGCATATCTTAGGCATCTAATGGACGAACATGAAAATGTCCATTAACTCAGTTTTAAAATTCAGGCACAATTTCTAACCTATCTGGATCTAAGTGTTTAAAGTCATTAAAAAAAAAATCAATGAGGAAGACGATTTTTTTTCAGTTCTGTAATATGAAAAACACACTTTGTTCTGCTATATTATTATTTGGAAAATAAAAGGCCAGTTCATGCACTTTTCTCCTATTTAAATAAAAAAATTGAAAATATAAAACTATATGTTGAGGAAATTAATAATTAAAAACCTGTTGGAAAAGTTTCTGAAGATTACTTTGTACTTAAAATCTTTTATTTTTGTCTTTGAAACTTGTAGCCAGCAGTAATCCTAGTTAATTGATTAGTTCTGTTTAAACTTTTCCACAATTGTTACATATTACTGAAGTATATAAAAAGGGATTTATATTTTTCAAGATACTGAAGTTCTTGAAACATAAATCCATCTAGTCATTGATAGGCAGTAATAAGTTGCTCTTACTACATGGCTTGAATGTAGTTGGTTTTGTATTAGCAACCCAGTGAAATCACATCAGGCATTTAGTACAACAATGATGACAAAATTGAAATTGAGTTTCAAAACTTTTTTTTTAAAGCTTATTTTGACAGAGAGCACAAGTGGGGGAGGGGCAGAGAGAGAGGAAGAGAGAATCCCAAACAGGCTCTGTCTGCCAGCACATGGCGGGGCTCGAACCCATGAACTGTGAGATCATGACCTGAGCCAAAGTCGGATACCTAATAGACCGAGCCAGCCAGCTGCCCCAAATTTCAAAAGTTTTTAAAATTGAGGTGCCTGGATAGCTTATTCGGTTAAAGGTCTGGCTCTTGATTTTGGCTCAGGTCATGATCTTGTGGTTCAGGAGATTAAGCCCTGCGTCAGGCTCTGTGCTGAGCATGGAGCCTGCTTAAGATTCTCTCTCTCTCTCTCTCTCTC